ATTACAGTTATATATACAGTATTATATTTTCAGTCCACATAATCATTGATTCAACACACAAGATCTTTGTAATATGTAATGAGAATATTTGGTTTAATCACTGAATAACAACACTATGATCTTCTTTCTGTTCAGTACTTTTAACAATCAGTTAATTAAACAGAAAACAATGCAAGATACTATACAATATGACTGAGTCCATCCTGTAGTCATTTGTTTTTTACTAATGCAGTTGAAAACGCTTCAACAGAAAAGGTGAATTTTTGATGATCTGTGGAGAGATTAGTACTAAAAGTTTTGAAAATGTACAAATTGCTTGTGAAAATTGCACCAAATTACAAAAAATGTTAATGGAATTGTCATTTGTGCTTTAAACTGAATTAATTGCAGAAAACTGTGGAGAAGAAGAGACTGCTTGGGATGTATCTGGATTTCTTTTTTAAATCAGCATCTAAGGATAAAAACCGAAGTCTCCAAAATCATTTGCATTTCAGGAAAATTAAGATGATATGCTAAATTAAAACAGATCACACAATAAATAAATAAAGGATGGATGGATGGATAGATAGATAGATAGATGGATAGATGGATAGATGATGGATGGATGGATGGATAGATGGATAGATGATGGATGGATGGATGGATAGATGGATGGATGATGGATGGATGGGTGGGTAGATGGTTGGATGGATGGATTGATAACTAATGGATTTGTGGGCCTGGAACCAATTTATATGAACTTTTTTTTCAATTTAAAGCTATCATAGCACATGATAGCAATGAACAAGTAAGATGTTACTTGTTTCTGGTATTAGCGCAGTCATTGCTAATAGAGTCAATGTAGTGATTACCTTCATGTGGTCTACTCTTCAGTGCAATGGTAACCACAAAAACTTCAACATAAAAGAAACTCTTTAAAATGTCAAACATAACAGCATTAAACACTAACAGCTCTTTCCCTTCACTAAAAAAAACTACATACAATAACACTTAATTTCAACATTTACTCTCCTCATCCAGTCCTATGCAAAGCATTCTGGGATCTAGAAATCCACTACCCAATTTCCAAAGTTAACAAGACTATTTTGAGTTACATTAACTTAATTTTTAAAGAAATTCAATTAACACAGAAATTTAAAAATTAAACACAATATTGTTAATGTAATGATCAACATTATTATGTCAACTGAACTCAACAAAATAATGTATTAAATTAGAATGTTTAACTTGCAACCATGCATTTTTTGAAGTGTTATTAAGTGTGTATTTAATTTGAAGAGTGTATGTTCCGGTTTGTTAACAGAGTAACTACACCAAAACGACTTGAACTCAAGTCTGCAAGCAATTCTGAGATGTTTCTCTCCTGAGCAGCCATGGTGTATATATTCACGTGACGTCCACAGCTCAGAGCTGAAGAGTGTGAAGAATCTCCTGTATCATGACAGAGAGAGTTTAATGTTTTAGAATGAATTTCAAAAGGTATTTCAACAGCTTATTAAAATACGGCACGAGAGCAATCTTTACAGCGTGACAAATTAAGGTTGGTCACTTTTGTTGTAATGATGCGAAAGGAGAAGTAACGACAGTAGAAAATAATCATTGCATTCAAACTTTTGAACTACCTCATTAACAAGACATTAATATCTCATTAAATTATCAACTGTAAGCAAAGCTGTCAGTGAGGATTTCTGTAATGAGGAGTAGGTTATGTTTATTTAAGATGATGAAAGAAATGGCTAATACTCAAACACACATGCACCAAAATAAACATTTGCAGGCTTTTGTTTCCAGTTAATTTTGTTATAATTATTTTTAGAGTCCCCATTACTGAGTAACAAAAGCAAAACTAGTTGCATTCATCAGTTAGTTTAGACCCCTGTCTGTGAAAGTACTGCTGAGGGGCTGTGGAAAGATAAATAAACAAAAAAGTTTATTAAAATAAACATACAGCTGTATGTTGTCTCTCTGATGTTTGTGGGGCCCTAAAAACCTATAACAATGACCACAACATAAAAAAACATCTATTCACACTGTTCAAAACTCTGTATAAATCAGGGTTATTATAATTAACTAAAACCAAAACCATAAAAAAACTTTTGCTACTTGAAAAAAAATTAACTTTAACTGAAATAAGAAACAGCTAGTTGCCAAGGTAACATTATTAATTTTCTTTTCGTTTAACTTGATGTACTAAAATAACTAAAACTGAAATAATAATTAATACAAACTATATAGATATATTTAAAAAAACTAATAAAAATTACAAAAACACAACAAAATGACTAAACATTTAACAAAAAATTAAATGACAACAGAAAACATTATAAAAAATATTATGCATTTTCTTTGAAAAATATAATAGTACCAGATACACTGGTATAAATAGCTATTTTTTAAACATCACTCTTGTGCTTTAATGTAATTATTTAATTATAAGATAGTTGCAAGGTAATATGAATTGTGTAAGCTAGTAATGCATCAGGAATGTTTGTTAAAGTCAGAAAGCATTCTATCAACCAGTCAGGCACATTGTAATCATCATTCCACAAACAGGACAGAACAGGAATAAGTAATGAATTTGGAATGTGCAGCAATGTGAATGATTCAGTCCAGTGGTAAAACTGCTTATGACTTACATGGTAAACAAAATATATACCACTAACACAATAATTGTATGGTTGTGAAGTGATGGTTCTACCATATTTGTGACAGGGAGTTGAGTTTGCAGCTTTAGCTATATGGAATATACACAAGACTAGATAATGATCCGAGATATCATCACTATGCTGCAGAATTTCAACGCCATTAACATCAATTCCATGTGACAGTATTAAATCTAAAGTATGATTACGACAATGAGTAGGTCCTGACACATGTTGTCTGACCCCAATAGAGTTCAGAATGTCAATAAATGTTGATCTCAATGCATCTTTTTCATTATCAACATCTATATTAAAATCACTAATACTTTAACTCAGAAAACTTTAACTCAGAAAATCTGCAAATTCTTTGATAAAGTCTGTATGGTGCCCTAGTGGCCTGTATGCAGTAGTCAGTACAATCATCATAGGGATTTATCATCAACACGTATTTCCCTAGATAATGTTATATGAAGCACCATTACTTCAAACTAATTATACTTGAAACCAGACCTCTAGGAAATACTGAAAATATTACTATGAATTGTAGCAGCATCTCCCCCTTTACCTTTTGGACGCGGCTAATGTTTATAACAGTAATCTTAAGGGTTAGACTAATTTAAAGTAATGTAATCATCTGGTTTTAGCCAGTTTTCTGTCAAACAGAGCACATCTAAGTTATGATCTGTCATATAATTTGCAAAAAGCTCTTTTGTAGAAAGGGATCTTATATTCATTAAGCCAAGCTTTATCATTGGTTTATTGGATGAACATCAATTAAATTGTTACCCTTGAATTGGTTTGGATGTTTTTTGTATTTGCTAGTTTGGGGAACAGACACAGTCTCTATAGTATGATATCTAGATAAAAGAGTCTCTGTGCTGAGAATAACTGACTTCTGTGACGTGAGTCGACTAGCAGACGGTCGATTTAGCCATTCTGTTTGCTTCCTGACCTGGGCCCCAGTTAGTCAAGTACTTCTATAGAGAAGAGCGGCACCACCCCTGGAGGGGTGAAGACCATCTCTTTTCAACAGATCAGGTCTGCCCCAAAAACTCATCCAATTGTCTATGAAACCTATGTTATTCTGCGGGCACCACTTAGAAATCCAGCCATTGAGTGATGACAGTCTGCTATGTATCTCTCCCACGGTAAGCAGGGAGGGGACCAGTGCATATTACATTGTCATACTTACAAGTTCACACACCTCTTTAATGTTATATTTAATGATTTCCGTCTGGTGAAGTCGAACATCATTAGTGCCGACGTGAATAACAATCTTGAAAAACAAGCCAGCACTTTTAAATTTGCCAAGATGTTTGCCAAGAGCGATCTGGCTCCCGGTAAACATTGGACTATGGTGGCTAGTGTCTCTATTTTCACGTTCTGTACAATAGAATCACCAATAACTACCTGTTACAGATTTAACAGAACCTGTTTAAAGTTTTGATCGGAATGGAAGAGCTGTGTTTTGTCCCGTGACTATGTCACCTCACAGTCACCCAGTCGCCCTGCTGCAGGGTCTCTGCAACCGGAACCAAACAATATGCAGGACTCGCTAAGCTAGTCGCATCCAAAGCCGTAACTAAGGCCCTCACATTCTTACTATCCTCAATTAAAGTTTGGATGTGTCTCTGGTTCTGAAATCTTCTCTGTCAGCCTAACTATTTCCCTGCATTTATCATATGTGAATGCCTTGTCGCCGACAGAGAAAGCTATATATACATGTGGCAAGCAGTGTAAGTGACAATAACAGGAGAAGCCTTGACTCATCATGTTTGTTGAATGATTAAGTTAAGTGTATATAACTATTGGATATGAAATACAAGTTATTCAGTATAATTCATATAATACACAATTATTCTTAAACATTTTGTTTTCATTTTTTTCTCCATCAGGTAGACAGGTTGCTAATGTTGTTTTAGTGTTTATTATCTATGCATATTAAAGAACACCATATTATAGTCAAGCATTATAGAAATAAAGATTTTTCAAACAGTATTAAAACACTTGGCATTATTGGAGGGAAGAAAATAATACTTATAATTACACATCATAACTGACATTTATTACACTGATTATAAATTAGTTGACAAACAAATATTTCCCAAATACAATGCTACAAATAATACATCTTAGTAATCTGGCATGTGATAAAATGTGACATCTAAGTCAAAATTCCTTCAAGACTTAATATACTTGCTTATTTTTATTGTGAACCATAAATAAACTGTAGGTCTTTCAAAATACTTAACCATACTGTATGAGATGTAATTTCTAACATAAACAGCCTCTAATCATAAGCTTCATGGTTCCACGGTTACATGCACCCTGGCAAGTATCAAGTTTCAAGTATCAAGTCTAAATCTTTTCATGAATAACAATGTTGGCGAATCCATGCACCTGAGTGAGCTGAGGACAATCGAGAGATGCTAGAAGTTTATGTTGCCCATGATATTTAGGAACAAAGGTCTCCATCAAGTTCACTGCAGCCAGACTTGGAATATCACTGAAGTGACAGAGAGACAAAATTATTATGTACATTTGTATTAATTTTACTCATCAGTCAAGTGTAATTTATTTCAAGCATTGTAAATTAATACAATACTCTTGTGTTTTACCCATAGTTAATTGTTCTGACATTATGCAATCCCAATCCTTCAAACCGGAGAACTACATTCTTCAGCACACAGGGCAATGGGTTCTGGAATTTGATTTTGAATGTCATCTCTTTGCCCACTACACTGCCACAAAGAGGCTGAAAAAGAAAAGACAATCAGGGACTACTCTGCAAATTGTGATGCTGCAGAAAAGTTGTGTGAAAAATAACTTGAATGCAAACACTGGCAGATATGAAGAGTTCATAATAAAGAAAACTCACAATGATAATGAGATCTGGTGTGCGCAGTCTGAAGTTGAACTGGGTGGTCAGTATCTGCGTAGTCTCTGAGACCCGTCCAGAAAGAGTGAGCATCAGCGCTGCTTGATCCACCAGGTGGTCCTTGTAGTCTTCATAACACAAGGTCCACTCCAGAATCTGGACTACAGGGGAAAACAAGATAAACAGTAAGTGAATACTAATGCTTTTATAACAAATCTACATTAAAAATGAATAATCATCCTCATTGTTATTTTGTCTTCACAGCTGATAGACTGTATGTCAAGTCTGTACTGAGAACGTAATGCTAAGGTAAGAATTTGGTAGGACTGGTTTAACTATGGTTTGCACCAAATGAATAAAAAACTTTCTAAGTTCATTAAGATAAACCGTGATGTTGGCTTTAAAGTATTTCCTGAAAGTCTAAATTAGCATTTTAAGCCAGAACAGCTTGAAATACTGCACCAGGTTTGGTGGACATTGCTTGGAACTTAACCAAACTAATTCTTCTTGTATTCAATTTACAGTCATTGTACTCAATATATCTATTTTAGATGTAACTGTGTATTGGGGCCTCTTGCAAACTATGATTTCAAGCTTCCATCATCCCTCACCCTCATACGACTTGAGCTCAATGAGTGTCTGGTCCTTTTTCACCAAGGCATTTTGGGCTCCGGTGTAGTAGATGGCTGCCACCTGGCTGTACAGAGTGAGGCTACGAGGAGACATGCACTTGTTCTTCAGAATGATGGAAAGCACGGCATCCTGACCAACACATGGTCCGTCACCCTGCATGTTGACTTCAATGATCACATCCTCAGTGTTGGACAGTGGGTATAAGGACTGTTTGGAGCCATTGCGACAGGCTGTTTCTACACCTTCTACATCTGTGTCTGAACCTGATGAAAGGGATAAAATAATAAATAATTAAACTCGATATGAATATTTAAATGTGTTGTTTCTTGGATGCCATGCATAAAACATCCCTACTTTTCCGAAATATTACTAAAATCACATCTGCCACTGTGACACGACTAGCTTGTCAGAAAACTAACCAGATCTCAAGGAAGTCTATAAAGATATAACGAAATGCTTAATTTTATATTAAAGTGCCCCTATTATGGATTTTTGAAAATTACCTTTCATGCAGTGTGTAACAGCTCTAAGTGAATTAAAACATCCTGCAAAGTTTTAAATCTGAAAGTGCACCGTGTATAAAGTTATTGTCTCTCAAAAGAAAGAGTTGACTCTGAATCATTAAAAGGAGTCGTTTTTAAAACGAATCCCAAGCTGTTTCATGTTGGCGTCAACATGAAACATTAGCATATTGCCACTTGTTGGTCTTTTCGCATTGGTCTAAATGAAAATGCAAATTCATTCTTTGCCATTAGGTGCTGCTTTTGAAGTGGTAAAAATAGTGGTTTCCCCGGTAACGCAGTACACAAAGCAGCACTGCGCTCACAAACGCTGCTTTATCAGGCATTACAGGCGAGATGAAATGAAAATGAGACCGATCGGATCAATCACCGCAGATTAGCGTCACGCAAAGGAGGGGTTTGGAAAAATGAATCGTTAAACTAATCGTTTCGGAGTCATTGAGCAAATAAGGTAAAAAAAATAAATGCATATTATAAGACAATGAAAGTGTTTTTTGACCTTGCATGCATGTCAACCTGTTGTTGGGGACTCCCAAAACCAAAATATGAACCTTTCATTACCCATAATAGGGGCACTTTAATAACATATTACATTTTATATTTTGTCAAGAATATATGGCTACTTTTGATTAGCCATCAATGGAAAAATAACCTTTTTCCCCACAGAATGGTGTAGTTATGACATCTACCAGCAGGTGCTAACTCTGCATGCTAACCAGTCAAACCTAATAGAGAAACCACAACATTTGGCTTCAGTGACTGGAGTGATCAATAATGATGCATATCATTATGGCTCTCTTTATACTGGTATTTTCTATATGTACAGCTCAGACTGCTGTGATGTGTAGGTTTTCACCTTCTGGGTGTTTGTAAAAGTGCGTGATGTCTACACGTTGATCTGAGCCGATAGCTTTGGTGCTGATGCAGTGACCTACTGCGTTCTTCTCAACCTGAATTACAGCAAAGTCTTCATTCGCTTCACGCTGCCAGTAGACTTTATCGCTGTTCACCTACAACACAAAGAGCCAAAAAGTAAGTGCTCCGGAGTTGTGCGTCTGTCCTTTTTCATTCCAATTCAGTTCCTATATTTGAAGGAGGATCCAGAATTGTAATGAGTTTAAGGGTACAGAATTATATATCTGACAGAAAGGTAGATGTAAGGCATTAACATACGCCAGCAAAAAGTAAGGGCGTGTCATGCTGAACCTGCCCGCTTCGGATTGCAGCAACAGAAATGGGGCAACGAAGATTGTCCTGGCTTGTCAGTTTAGGAGTGGAATCAACCACCTGCCAACCTTCGAAACCAGATGGCAGGTCTGGCCGAGTCATCCAGACCTCATTCCATACATGGTAGTTCCTACATTGAGAGAAAAAAGAGATAAAGAAATACATACAGTACAACAATCATTGCATAACCATTGCCACAAAAATGAACGTTTTGACAAATGCTGACGCCATGTAAGCTTACCAGACTGAATAACGGTTTAGATGCTCAATCGGCTCAAATTTCTCATCAAAATAAACATCAGCTGTCAATGAAACATCAGTGTCATGAGCAGAATTGAAGTTTGAGACTGGACGATTGGGAATGCCCAAACATCTCAAAACTGAGGACAGAGAGATTGTGAGAAGAAAGAATTTAATCAATACACGTATCTAAACACACCATCAATTCTTATTGGACTGTTCACTTTTTTCTCAGTCCAATATGTTTAACATCCTACTTGTGTTGGTGACTCCAGCAAAGACCCAGCACTGTCCATATCTGACAGGTTCTCCTCCACTTTTGTGGTACTGTGTCAGGATGGCACTGCTGCCACACCAAGCAGTAGGAGAAGTTCCGTCATTGTAGGTACTTGACCAGCTACCCATCATCACACCACTGTTGTCACTGGCATTAATCTGTGACAAAGACGACGTCAAAATGCTATTCTGCTGTCTGCTAACTTCCCAAAACATCCTTGTTCTCATTGTCTAATCAGGTTGTCTAATCCCCAAAAATCTAAAGCTTGTTGATTAAAAAAGGCTGGAAAACTCACAAATGCAGATATCACTCTGACCACATTAACAGGGTCTCCCCATCCTGAGCAAGGCCCACCACTCTTCTCCAACACAAAGAAACACGCAGCCAAGACTCCTTCATCAAACTAAGAATAAGAGATCACAGAATAATAATAATAGAGAAATTTGTTTGCATGCACTTTTATATGAATATGAATGAAAGTTTGCTTCTTACTTGACCAAAGTTCCATGTTCTGCAGCCAATCTGATGTTTAGTTCCATAGTAGATTCTGCCCATGTCATTCAGCACATACTCAACTCTCTCCGCCTCATCACTCAGGTACACACCGTCATCTGATAAAGAGGCATTCTTAAATATTTAACAGTGCTTTCTAGTTTTTCCTCATTTTTTGTTCATTTTCAGGCTTCAGATGTGATTTAAAAGCCCAATAAAATGAAAATAGAATGCTATATCATGTGCACATACATTTACACCAGGGGTTGAACAGCATGTAAATATCATAATCAGTTGAAGTGAGTTTTCCTCCTGGGCAATTGGTTACGATAGTAAGTTTGTATTGTCCAATAGAAGCTGTTGACTGAGAATAAACACAGAGTTTGATTCGGTTTTGCATTTGTTCAACAATCCTGGCTTCCCAGCAGTCTTTCTTGAATTCCTTCACCAATGGAACAATTGTGAGCATCTCACTCCATGTCGATGGGATATTACCTGAGAAACATACACAAGAAGAGGAAATGATGGTGAGGATATGCCTTAAAGGGGTCCTATTATGCTTTTTCACTTTTTGAACTTTAGTTA